CGCAATGTCCGATCGGGTACGAGTGAGGTAGCGCAGCCCGCCGACGATACTCCGGTAGCGTGTCGCGTCCACCTTTGCAGCAATGTTGTGCTTGCTCAGCTTCAACCACTCCTTCATTGGAGTCGCGCACGGCTTGCACTCCGCCATGCCGCCGCGCTCCAGCAGCTTCTCCGCGTAAGCACGCTGACCCAGGGAGATGCTCTGCTTTCCCCGCCTCACCTCGATGCCGAGGTAGTAGGAGAGCGCGTCGAGATTGCTCATCTTGAAATGAGCCGCCATCTCACGTTTGAAACTGTCGATGTCCTCTGCTCGTGCTCTGGTGACGATTAAGTCATCCACGTACACGCCGACGACGAGCTCCTTCCTCGTCGCCGCGTGTAGAGCGCGTGCTCTGTAGCGCAGCGAGTGAACCCAAGCTCGTCCAAGGTGGCGTCGAGCTTGGCGTTCCATGCCCGAGAGGCCTGCCGCAGCCCGTAGAGCACCTTGCGCAACTTGAGCACCATGTGCTCAGCGCCCTTGACGGCGAAGCCCGGAGCTTGCTTGACAAAGACCGTCTCCGCGAGCTCGCCATTGAGGAACGCAGACTTGACGTCGAGGTGGTGGACACGCCAATCCTTCGCTGTTGCCATGGCCAACAGCAAGCGAACGGACTCCATTCGCGCCACTGGAGCAAAGACTTCCTCAAAGTCGATGCCCTCACGCTGCACGAAGCCACGGGCGACGAGCCGAGCCTTGTACTTGACAATGGCGCCGCGCTCATCCCGCTTCACCTTGTAGACCCACTTCAAGCCGATCGGCCTGCAGCCCACCGGTGGATCTACCAGGTCCCATGTGCCATTGTCCTCGATAGCCTTCATCTCTTCCAACATCGTCCGTCGCCAATTGGCATCACGATCAACCACTGCGAACATCGGTGGCTCCTCGGCACTAACAAGGAGCAGCTCTGGATCGTCGAGCAGCCGACTCGCCAGGCCTGTGGCCCCTGCATTGCCGACGATGTTGTCTAGCCTGCGGAACCAGACTTCCTCACCGTTGTGGAAGGCATCCACGAACTCGCTGATGTCGCTTGGAGGGGAGGTGAACTTGATCGATGGTCCCCGGCTTCCCTATTCTGCTGGAGTGGTCAGCATCGCTGCTGGACCGCTCGGCACCACTGCCGGAGTGGTCGACATCGTTGCTGGAGCGGTCGGCATCGCTGCTGGAGCGATCGGCACCACTCCTGGAGTGGTCGACTCTACTGCTGGGCTCTGCACTGCTGCTGAAGTGCTCGGCACCCCCTCTGCAGTGCTCGGCACTCCTCCCGGAGTGCTTGGCACTGCCCCAGGAGTGCTCGGCTCTGTTGCTGGAGTGGTCGGCACCTCCTCTCCAACGTCTCCACCACCGTGGATGACCATGCGCTCGACGACGAAGGTGCTGGTGAAGCCGTCAGCTTCCCCCGTGCCCAGACTGTCCCAGTCCCAGGCCGCCTTCTCATCGAACACCACATCCCTAGAGATTACCACCTTGCCTCTCTTGGGATCATAAAGCCGATAGGCCTTGCTGCCCTCCTCATAGCCCAGGAACACCATTGGTGTGCTCCTGTCTTCATCCCTAGAGATTACCACCTTGCCTCTCTTGGGATAATAAAGCCGATAGGCCCTGCTGCCCTCCTCGTAGCCTAGGAGCACCATCGGTGCGCTCCTGTCTTCCAGCTTGCCGAGGTGAGACTTGGTGTTCTTCACATGGCCGACGTAGCCAAATGTCCTAAGGATACATTCGGCTTGCGTCCATGCCAAGCCTCGAACGGCGTCTTGCCCTTCAGGGTCTCCGTGAGCGCGCGGTTGAGGATAAACACCGTCGTGGTCACCGCCTCTCCCCAGAACTCCGTCGGCATCTTCTTAACCTTCATCATGGATCAAGCCATGCCGACCACCGTCTGGTTCCGCCACTCCACCATGCCATTCTGCTGTGGCGAGTACGACGCGGTGTGGTGTCGCACCAAGCCCTGATCCACGCAATACGCAGCGAATTCCACCGAAGTGAATTCGCCGCCACGTTCAGTCCGCAGCATGTGCAGCTTCTTGCCGCTCTCCGCCTCCGCGCACGCCTTGAACTTCTTGACCGCTTCCGCCACCTCGGTCTTGCTGGTCAGAAGCTACAGCCACATGTACCGGCTGTAGTCATCCACCAGCAAGATGAAGTACTTGCGCCCGCCAGGCGTCGTCGGCGTGATCGGCCCGCAGAGGTCACCATGGACCAGCTCGAGGGTCTCTGCCGCGCGGTACTTCGCCGTCTTCGGAAACAACAACCTTCTTTGCTTCCCGACCAGGCAGCTGTCACACAGCTCGCCTGCGTGCTTGATGTGAGGCAGCTCAATCACCTTCTCTAGCCGACCAAGAGCATCGAAGCTGAGATGTCCATACCGAGCATGCCACAGCCACGGCTCCTCCGTCCACCGTGCAGCCAAGAAGATAAGCTGCTCCACCTTGAGGTCGAGCAGGTACAGCCGATTCCGGGACCTCTTCACCTTGGCAAGAAGTCGCTGCTCCTGGTCCCTGATCCCGAGGACGCCGTCATTGATCAGTACCTCGCTGTCGCGCTCATCCAGCTGACCAATGCTGATGATGCTTGAACACAGCTGCGGGATATAATATACATCCGTTAGTGCACGTTGCTCGCCGTTCTGGCACCTGAAGATGATGGTGTCGCGCCCTCGGATCGCCACCCTTGAGCCGTCACCGAACTTCACCGTGCCGATCACATCGTCGTCGAGCTCGGAGAAGGCTGCCTTGGAGCCCGTCATGTGGTTGCTGGCACCAGAGTTCAGGTACCACCGCTGCTCCTGCTCGCCGCCCACACGTCCAAGGTGGACTTGCGCCCTGTTCGTTTGGGCTTGTTTGGCTTATAAGCCATACTTTTTCAGCCAACGAACAATATTTTTCTCACAAAATCAGCCAACAGTACTTTCAGCCATGGCTTATCAACCAAACAAGCCCAAACGAATAGGGCGTTGGGCACGCGGTTCGTCGAGGTTGACAGCCTTCAGAGCCTTCCCAGGCCCTTCCACCGCCATCCCCTCTCCCTTCTACTTGGCATCAACGTCGTGCAGTGCACAAAACGTCGTCATCAGGATAGTGGCCTCATCATCATCATCATCAGCCTACGCCAGATGAGCCTCAGCCTTCTTCTCCTACTTGTGATTTGGGCACTCCCTTGCCCAATGGCCCGTCTTCCCGCAGCGTCGGCAGGCGTTGGGGTCGACCTTTTCTTCTTCTTCGAAGAAGCCTTGCCACAGCGCTTGCCATCGCCACCGTGGCTGGAGAAGGCTTCCCCGGACTTCTCCTTCATCCGGGTAGCCCACTCCTCTTCTGTCAGCAGTAGCTTGCCGCTGTCCGTCGTTGTTGTGGCCTGCTCCATGCGCTCGTCCACCGCCCGCAGACAACCTATCACATCCTCAATGGTGAGGGTGGACAAGTTCAGCATCGCCTCTATGGAGAGAGCAATCTGGATGTACTTCGCCGGCACGGAGTGGAGGTACTTGGAGACCGCCTCTTCTTCGTCGATGGTGACGCCGTGGCTCCTTAGCTTGCTGATGAGCATCTGTAGACGACGGGAGAAGTCCTCCACCAATTCACCATCCTTGAACTTAAGGTTGGCGTACTTCTGCTTCAGCAGCTGGGCTGTCGCCTTCTTTGCATGGTCGGAACCAACGTGCATCGCCACAATAGCCTCCCATGCCTCCTTAGCAGAGTTCTTCGCCCCCAACGGCTCCCTGTACTCCGCTGGCACAGCAGCGAGGATGGCTTCCAACGCTGACATGTCGTCTTCTTTGTTGTCGGTGCCCTTGTTAATGGCATTCCAGAGCCATCGGGCTCTGAGCTTGACCTTCATGATTACTGTCCATTCGCCATAGTTAGTGCGAGTCAGTGTCGACCAACTGGTGCCGCTGACCTCCCGCACCGTGCACACAACGACCTCCTGTCGTGGCTGGGCAGCCACAACAGCGCCACTGCTGTCACCCATCTCCAAATCATCCGTCATCGCCAGCGATTAGTCCGACGACGACGTTTGTACAGCTCCGATACCACTTGTTGATCCCTGACTGATCTACACAGGTAAGCAACTAGTTTAACAGCACACACTCACTCACTATAGCTAGAGGTAGAAGAAGAGATTGAGAACAACGCACACACACTCAGCACAAGCACCAGCATTGGTCAAAGCCCTGCCCTTTGGTTTGTAGCAACTGAACTGAATATTCCATTGCCCTTTGGATGTAATATATGCAACTCTAGTTGTACCTCTATCAGGTACATAGTTGTTGGCCAACTATCTAATCCTAAGTTCAAGTGTACACCAACTACCTACTCCTTAGGTATAGGGTTCACCAACTACCTACTCTTAAGATACATGGTTCACCAACTACCTACTCCTAAGGTACAGAATATACCAACTACTCCTAGCAGTACAAAGCTTACCTCAGCCCACTACAAGTCATGGCTGATGTAATAGCTACCAACTAATATACTAGAGGTGGCCTATTGTAATACTGCTACAGCCGGAACTGGTCAGCAGAGCCGATCAGTCCCCAACTCCCAACAGGGAGTGGTCGACCGAGCCGACCAGTCTCCAGCTAAGGAGAGAATGGGGAGCAGCAGATTATGTCTTCACAATCCATACATACAGGATATAAGTTACTAAAGTACAACATCAAACGCAGAGACATCAGTATCTCATTGCTAACAAGGCCTAATAATACAAGTGCATCAAACTGAAAATTCCAAGTTTGTTCCAAAAACAAGGCAACTCAAAAGTCTAGCATATATTTCATTCGCTAAATGCCTCTGCATCTATTCATTTCCATAGCAACCCTACTGCCTCACTTCCAACAAAAAGGAAAATCATGAAAGATAAAGCACCTAATGGGGCGGCCAAGTAATGTCAGTCTAATTTTACCATCATGAGGAGCCCAGCTGACTTGTAAAGAAGGCCATATTTCGGACCAAAGATTTTGACCTCAGTTAGGTACTGAGAGCAGGTTCCAGTGGCTCAGCAACACCGCTACCACCGTTCAGGACTATTACCTTGCCATCTGAATCCACATCAACGATGGCAGAGTCACCTTCTTTAACCTCACCAGCCAGCATCTTCTCTGCCAGACTATCCTCCAGAAGCCTCATGATAGCACGCCGCAAAGGTCTGGCACCATAGCTCGGGTTATAACCTTCGTCAACAACTCTATCCCGGAACTTCTCTGTGACCTGGAGATTAATGTCCTTGGCCTTCAGCCTGTCAAACACTTCTTTCAGCATAATGTCAGCAATCTCTTTTACCTCCAATTTAGTCAGCTGCCGGAATACAATCATCTCATCCAATCTGTTCAAGAACTCTGGCCGGAAATACTGCTTCAACTCCTCGGTCACCAGGCTCTTGATCCTGTTATAGCTGGTGTCTTTCTCATCATAGTCAAGGTCGAACCCAATCTTGCGACCTCCCTTCTCAATCACACTGCTTCCAACATTAGATGTCATGATCAATAGTGTGTTTTTGAAATCAACTGTGCGCCCCTTGCTATCAGTTAACCGCCCATCTTCTAAGATCTGAAGCATCATGTTGAAAACATCAGGATGTGCCTTCTCGATCTCATCAAAGAGAACAACCGTGTAAGGGCGGCGACGGACTGCTTCAGTTAGTTGGCCTCCCTCAGTGTACCCAACATAACCAGGAGGTGATCCAATGAGTTTGGACACAGTATGTCTCTCCATGAACTCGCTCATGTCAAGCCTGATCATAGCCTCCTCCGAGCCAAAGTAGTAGGCTGCCAGAGCCTTTGCTAGCTCTGATTTGCCAACTCCAGTCGGTCCAGAGAATATGAAGCTGGCGATTGGCCTATTTGGATTCTTGAGGCCAACACGAGCACGGCGGATAGCACGGCTAATAGCTTTGACAGCCTCATCCTGGCCAATGATACGTGTATGCAGTGTCTCTTCCATCTTTAGGAGACGGTCAGACTCGTCAGATGACACTTTCTCCACAGGAATTCCAGTCCAAGAGGAGACAATATGTTGAATGTCCGCCTCAGTAACAAGAGGACCGACTTCACCAGATTCAGTCTCCGCTTTAATCATTTCCTTGCTCTTGTCAATAATGGCCGTAATTTGAGCCTTCAGCTCCATTTCTCGGTCCCTTAATTCGCCAGCCTATCAAGAAACAATTATGATAAGATAACAGGGACAACATTTAGAGGAAGTATAGCTAGGTGAGGATTCACATAAAAATTCAAAATTCTGGTTGCACTAGAGCCTTTGTGCAGCATTCAGAGCTATTTTTCCCCATATCCGATACATAGTCAAAATGATTAGTTCATTAGTTCAACTCACAGAATCTGTAATGGTAAGATAGCATGAATATGTGGAGATGCTAGAATTGGTTCACAGTCCATGAAAGATCCAGACTGCATGTTTCCCTTATTAACCTTTCTATAGAACTCAGCATTTTCCATTGCAAAGTGAAAATAGTAAGATGAGTTCAAGTAAACAATTAAGGGCAGTTGGTTTGTGACCATGGTATCCAATGTCCCTTGTAGCAAAAATACTTATAACCCAACATGTTGCAATGTTTCAAAATTTTCATAAAAATTATGTGTGCTGTAAAAGTTAAGTGGACCTGTAAAATATTTCAAATTCAAATTCATATGCAAAATCAAGATTGAAAAAACAAAAGTCGTACTGTTAGCACATGACAAACAATGCCAGAATGACTGCTTGTCTATTTTGCTTATTGACATCTTGAACGAATTTGAAATAAAAATTTCAAGTGTACAATATGATGTTTTTATGATTTTTTGTAACATTACAACATGGCATGTTTGCTAATGAGGATGCTGGAACCCATGGGCACAAAATCCATAGTCAAACAATAGTATACCTTCTCAAAATCTTGGCCGCGTACAGCCTCGTTCTTCTGCTTGGTTATCTGCCGCAGCTCTTTGTCCAGCTCTTTGGCTTCATCAGGGAGCTGTAACACCAAAGCTTACAATCAGCAAGAACAATGCACAGCAAACATTGTTTGTAGTCTGAAAAATTCAGCGTTAAATACCTGGGCATGCCTCAGCCTCACACGGGATCCAGCCTCATCAATCAAGTCAATGGCCTTGTCAGGCAGGAAACGGTCACTGAAAGAAATAAAAGCAATATAAATTTCCATTTAAATCACAATCAAATGATTGATCTGCTTGATAAAAAATGTCGTTTCTCTAGAATATTTTCTTAAAAAACTAAACTACCCACCCTCCCTCCCTCTGTATTTGTTCAGATATAATTATAATATTTGACTGGCCCAGAAAATGTACATGGATCCTTAAAGGTGGCAAATAAGTTGCTCAAAATCCAAAACTGATCATTCAAGTTAGCACTTTGGTAACAAATTATCAAACCAAAATATATAACACCACCACTGCCAAGTCCATTTGACTTCTTAAAAAGGGAAAATTCAAGTGGATATATAACACACTACTCAAAGATTTGGTGATTTGCAAACCTGATATACTGATAAGACAGTCGTGCAGCAGCAATTAAAGCATCATCTGTGTATCGCAGTTTGTGATGGAGTTCATATCTCTCACGAAGTCCTCTTAAGATCAGTATTGTTTCATCGACAGTAGGCTCAGGAACCTTAACTGGTTGAAACCTTCTTTCCAAGGCAGGATCTTTCTCTATATGCTTCCTATACTCATCCAGCGTTGTGGCACCAATGCACTACACAGATAAAATCATCAGGAATGTGGTTAATTTGGGGAAATTACAAAACTCTGGAGTCACTCTAGATGAGGGCTTTGGGACCTTATCCTTCTCCAAAACAAACCATACAAATGAGCTAATAAGATATAACAAAATGCTAGAAGCACCAGAATTCAGAGTCAGGAACTATACCTGTAGTTCACCTCTTGCAAGAGCTGGCTTCAAAATATTAGCAGCATCAATTGCACCTTCTGCTGCACCTGCTCCGATCAGTGTGTGTACTTCATCAATAAAGAGAATAATGTCTTCATTTTGCTTAATTTCCTCCATAAGTTTCTTTAGTCTCTCTTCAAACTCTCCACGGTATTTGGTTCCAGCAACAAGGAGCCCCATGTCAAGCGTAATAACCTAACCAAAGAAAGGAATAAATACTGTTTAGTCCTCGAAACAATAAAAAGGGTGAACAGTAACACCCGAGTATAAGTTGTAAAAAAGTTTTGTTCTCTTTTCACCAACATCTGATGTCAGAAATCAGTACAGAACCAAGCAATCCCACCAATGGCAATCAACCCAGCAAAGTAAATTCATGCTCTGGACTGGCCATGTCACATATGTAGTAGCCCATGTTTTAAAAAAAGCATATGGAGTAGCCCAGCAAAGGAGCCTTTTTATACATTTTCAGCTACTTTTGTAAATTAATACAACATTATCTGCTACTTTTGTAAATGAACACAGTGAATTCAGCCCCAAGGGCAACGTTGGAAGAAATGCAATAATACTGCTACTCATCTACACAAGAATAGAACGAAAAAAAAAATCTTAAGCGCCACAGGATGGTCCAAACTAACCTTCTTTCCTTCAATTGTTTCAGGAACATCCCCATTGGCTATACGTTGAGCAAGCCCCTCAGCAATAGCAGTCTTGCCGACACCAGGCTCTCCAATTAGGCAGGGGTTGTTCTTTGTCCGCCTGCCCAAAATCTGAGTAACACGCTCAATCTGGTCCTGTCTACCAACAACTGGGTCCAATTTTCCCTGAAGAAGAAGACAGTGATCATTATTTGTCTTCACTAGTTACTTACACAAAAAAACAATTAAGTTGGGGAATAGGAAATACCTCCTCTGCTAATTTCGTCAAATTAGTACCGTATTCTTCAAGTGTGGGCATCTTCTGGCCACTGCTTCCTCCACCAACTCCAGCCCCAACGGCTTCTGTGCTTTCCCCAACCATTCTGATCACCTGAACATCATGTCAAACATCAGTCCCTGCACAATTTGGTTCAAAAAAATTGGGTAACAAAAAGATCAACAAAAGATAATTGCCTGGGTACGGATGTTGTTTGGATCAGCACCAAGGCTTTCGAGCACACGAGCAGCAACACCTTCACCCTCACGAAGTAGCCCAAGGAGTAAGTGTTCAGATCCTATATAGTTATGCCCTGAGAAACCAACATAGAAGAACATAAGTGAGACAATTATGCACATATTATTTTATAACAAACAATTAATCCCTCTCACAGGTGGAAATTTTTGAACTCAAAAATGGTAAATAGCTAACCAACTCGCAATGCTTGTTTTAATCATTTAATGACAGTATGTATCAAAAGATCCGGTATGTATCAATAATTTAGTATGATAGTGCCTGATTTCTACTCAAACCCCACATGATTTAATGGTCCCCATACTAACTTGGCATCATTCTGAATCAATAATTAGTCACGGATTCAAACATATCTGCACATGTTAGTGATCAATCTACAATGTATCATTATCAAGTATCGACAAACATACACTGAGTGTCTTGCATGTCTAGTATGAGAAAGTCAGAACAGGGTACCATACTGGGAACAGAAAAACAAGAGTTTAATTTACACTGACCAAATTAAAAATTTAGAGGCAAAAAAGTCCACAGAAAATTCATGTGTGCTTCTTACGACAAACACCCTAGTCTCATAGACTCAAAAATGAACTATAGACAAGTAGCAAGCTTTGTTTAAGGACCAGACAAGCCCATTTGGTATCACTTGGTTTCAACTGAACTAAAACAAATATAAATCAGCATCATCTTCAAGAACAATACAATAATTGACATTCCATGCTTCTTCGCAACTTATAGTGCAATGATAAAAGGACATCAGAGTGTGTATTATAATAAGCTATTATGGTAGTGCTTTCTTTCTACTCAAATCACATAAAACAGCCACCCTTTTCATTCATATTTCTTAATGAGCAATCAGTAAACAAACATACACTAGCATTTTGCATGTCCAGTAAAAAATGGGGAAGAAGAATACAATGCCATACCAGGAATTGAAAAGATTAGAATTTACACTGATTCAATTAAAATTTTCAAGGTGCATCAACAAAGCCCACCAAAAGTAGTTAGATAAAATTATAGGTAAATACATTAACCAACCAAACCTAATAACACAAAATGAACTAACTATATAGATAGGTGAAGATAATACCAAGCTGACGAGCTTCTTCAAGGGACAATTCCAATACACGTTTTGCACGAGGAGTGAATGGGATTTCAACAGCCACAAACCCGCTGCCACGTCCAATTATCTTCTCGACTTCAACTCGGGCATCCTTAAGATTGATTCCCATAGACTTCAGAACCTTCGCAGCAATTCCCGTGCCCTCACCAATAAGCCCCAGCAAAATCTGCTCTGTCCCAACAAAGTTGTGTCCCAGGCGCCTTGCCTCCTCCTGCGCCAGCATAATCACCTTGATTGCCTTCTCAGTGAAGCGTTCAAACATGGCACGAACAACCCCTCTTGAGGCCGACCCACGCGGCCTCGCAATCTGACTTGCCACGATCGATCCGAAGTCACGCTTGATCACGGACCTCGTGTCCAAAAAGTTTGTCTGGCGCAGCCCTTGGAAGCCACCAAGAGTAAGAGTCCTTGTTGGCATATTGCGCACCATTGTAGCATTTGTTCTGGCCCTTGCACGCGCGCGGAGCCGACCTGAGCTGCTTCTGTAAACGGTTGGAACAATCGCAGACTGAACTAGAGCGCCCTCCATGTTGAACTAGCAGAAGGCAATCCCAGGACTATATGCACCAAGCCCTGCAAATTTGTAACAGGAACTAAGTAAAACTGTAAATATCACAAAATGTTGTGCAGGTGCAGCTAACCAAACTAATTCACATGGAAGAAAAGAGTTTGCAACTAAATCTGAAGGTGGCAAGGATTCACGGAAGTATCAAATACAATAGCAACCACCATACTGAAACGATTGCAGGTCTCGAATAGATTATATTTCCTCGAATCGACTCTACAGCCCTTATGTGCCGACACAGGCGCGCACGCTTTAGAATCCCACATCGATTTACCCCTCCAGCCGCCGCTCTGCGTTACTAACTTCAACGAAACAGAGTCGAGAGATATGGCTGCTGGTTGAGGCAACAAGACGCCCTCTAAATCGTATCAGCAGAACCTCAAGTGGGTAACATCTAGCCTAGGTGACGCACATCAAAAGCGACGCCGCCGGAGCCATCCGCGGTACCCACTAGGAAAGCACCCGCGGATGCGCCGTGCAGGTCAGCCAGGAGATGAGCCGGCGGGACCTAATTCCATCCAACAAGTCCTCACCCCCAACCCAACCACGACGCGCCGACAGACACCCTTCACAACCCTTCACAAATTCAGACGGGGAAATGGGAACGGGGAGATTATTACCGCGCCGAGTTTCGTCTCCCAGAGAGGGGGGTCGTGGAGCGCGCGCCGGCGGAAGCGTCCCGACCCTGCGCCGGCGAGGCGGGGGCGCCCTAGGCGGGGGAGGGGAGGAGAGGTGGCGGAGAAGACGAGAGGGAGGGGGGGTAGCTGCCTGCCGCGGTAGTGGGAAGGGAAATGGGAATGGAGCCTCCAGAAGATAAGGAGAGGAGGAAGGCGACGAGAGCTTGCGCTGCGTTGGTGGAGTGGGCCGTACGTCACCCCATCCCAACACGGGCCTTTTCTCTTTCTCGTCTTTGCCCGCGTGTGCAGCCCACTTAGCCCAACGACGACCCTAGTTTGTCCAGCGGGCCACCTTGCCATCCTTTTATTTCAGCCTGGTTAGGCGAAATTTTGCGAATTTTTTTTTGTTTCAAAAAAAAAATTAACCTCCACAGCTATTCACAAAAGTCCGATTTTACTCTCTCGTATATAAGATTCGGGTTTTCGAGTTTAAAAAAAAATATTCGGGTTTTCGACGTCTCAACTTTTAAAATCATTTATTATTGTACTCTGTGTAATTTAGACAACGACTTTTTCTAATATGGCGCCACATTAGCCGTGAAGGGATAATCAGACTACCTTTGATAGTTTAAGAGTAAATTGGACTAGAAATATTTTTTTAAAAGAAAATATCCCAATATAATTTTTAAGAAAACGTGTAATTGGACTAGAAATTGAGCATACAATCATCTACCATTAATATCTCTTTGCATAAGCTTCCCTTGCAACTTAAATTTCGCCTTATCAACAGCAACGAAGGGGAACAGTCCAAGAAGTGACCGCAGTTTCCCTCCCCTACCAAACGCCTATCCAGTTTGGATATTTGCCTTCCAGACAACGATATGGACCGAGGCTGGCAAAATCCTAGTGCTGCATGCCGATCTTCAGGGTGCTAAGCAAACAGGCCAATATTCGCTGCGTAGTAAAGCTTCAAAAAACGAGGTAAAGCCGCCCAACGTGGCTTTGTCACATTTGATTTGAGCTCCTGACTAAAATGGAATTAAAAAAGTCTTTTTTTTTTTGTGCTTGGTCGATGACCCTGAAACGAAACGAATTTGCTGACTAAAGCAACATTAAAAAAAATCGATGTGATCGGGAAGCACTTCTCGCCATGTATAAAAAGCTGAAAAGGCTTATCGTGATTTGTTAAGACTTTAGAACATACTCTTTTTTTTTTAATCTGACTTTAGAACATACTCAGTTCCTTCTTAGTGAAATACACGAACATGTTCGCGAAAAAAAGAACATACTCAGTTCCAAAATCAATCTCAAGTTAAAATCGATGTGATCGGGAAGCACTTCTCGCCATGTATAAAAAAGCTGAAAAGGCTTATCGTGATTTGTCAAGACTTTAGAACATACTCTCTTTTTTAATCTGGCTTTAGAACATACTCAGTTCCTTCTTAGTGAAATACACGAACGTGTTCGCGAAAAAAAGAACATACTCAGTTCCAAAATCAATCTCAAGTTTAACCAAATTTATAGAAAATAGTATCAATATTTACATCTCTAAATAGATTTACTATGAACATATATTTTTTATATATATTTGATCAAACTTAAGATTGATTGACTCTTCAAAATGCAAGATATGTACACTTATTTGGAACGGATGGGAATAAGGATGGAGTACGAAACGGAGGGCCTGGACCAGTCCAAAACGCGTTACATTATTATCACAGCATCTAAGGGCAGAGGTAAATTTACAGTCTATAAGAAAAAAAGACTTTCAAATTCAATTCTAGCATCAGTCTTGTAGAATATGCTGCTGGAACTGGAAATATTATCATTATAAAACCACTGTTATCGGAGGCTTGATACATAACTGGAAGGTTACGTACAGGTAACTGCAAGCAAAGCCCTAGTAATGCAGTTAACTGCAAGGGACCAAAATTCCAACATCCTCCCCCCCCCCCCAAAAAAAAAAAAAGGTATCCTAGCATCCATTTTGCCTCTATTCATTTCCATGGCATTTATACTGACTAATTTCCATATCATTTCTACTGACTAACTGGGGGCACTTCTAAAAAGAAAGAAAAAAAAAACAAGAGAAACCTATGGAAGGGCGAGCCGTGTCTATCTAGCGTTACCGTCTTCATGACGACCTCAGCAGAGGTGAAGAAAACCAAGATCACAGGCCGATTAGTTCAGGCTCACCTACACTGAGAGCAGGTTCGAGTGGCTCAGCAACACCGCTACCACCTTTCAGGACTACTACCTTGCCTTCTGAATCCACATCAACAATGGCAGAGTCACCTTCTTTCACCTCACCAGCCAGCATCTTCTCCGCCAGACTATCTTCCAAGAGCCTCATGATAGCACGCCGCAGAGGCCTGGCACCATAGCTCGGGTTGTAACCTTCATCAACAACCCTATCACAGAACCTCTCCGTGACCTGGAGATCAATGCCCTTCACCTTGAGCCTGTCAAATACTTCTTTCAGCATAATATCACCAATCTCCTTCACCTCCAACTTTGTCAGTTGCCGGAACACAATCATCTCATCCAATCTGTTAAGGAATTCTGGCCGGAAGTACTGCTTTAACTCTTCAGTCACTAGGCTCTTGATCCTGTTGTAGCTTGTGTCCTTCTCGTCATAATCAAGGTCAAACCCAATCTTGTGGCCTCCTTTCTCGATGACACTGCTTCCAACATTCGATGTCATAATCAGCAGGGTGTTCTTGAAATCAACTGTCCTCCCCTTACTGTCAGTTAGTCTGCCGTCTTCCAAGATCTGAAGCATCATATTGAATACATCTGGATGTGCCTTCTCAATCTCATCAAAGAGAACAACCGTGTATGGACGGCGACGAACAGCTTCAGTAAGTTGGCCACCCTCAGTGTAGCCAACATAACCTGGAGGTGACCCGATGAGCTTGGAGACAGTATGTCTCTCCATGAACTCACTCATGTCAAGCCTGATCATGGATTCCTCTGAGCCAAAGTAGTAGGCTGCTAGAGCCTTTGTTAATTCTGACTTGCCAACACCAGTTGGTCCAGAGAATATGAAGCTAGCAATTGGTCGATTTGGATTCTTGAGGCCAACACGAGCACGGCGGATAGCACGGCTAATGGCTTTGACGGCTTCATCCTGGCCAATGATACGTGTATGCAGTGTTTCTTCCATCTTAAGGAGACGGTCAGACTCGTCAGATGAGACTTTCTCCACTGGTATTCCAGTCCAAGAGGAGACAATATGTTGAATGTCTGCCTCTGTAACAAGAGGACCAACTTCACCAGATTCAGTCTCTGCTTTAATCATTTCCTTACTCTTGTCAATAATAGCAGTAATTTGGGCTTTAAGCTCCATTTCACGGTCCCTTAATTCCCCTGCCTGTCAATCGAGCAACAATAATTATGAGATAATATGGACTAGTTCTAGAGAAGGTATAGTTATTTCATGATCATGACAATTTCTGATTGCTTTTTTTTTTTGAGGAAAATTTTCTGATTGCATTAGAACCTTTGTAGCATCTAGAGCAAAAAAAATCACAAAGCAAAGCGAAAATGGCTAGGTCAATTTCTATCTTTGCACAAAAAAACATAGTTCTTACTAAGCAATCCATTTAATCTTTGTATGCAACAATTTTCAGAAATCTTAATATACCTTCTCGAAATCTTGGCCATGTACAGCCTCATTCTTCTGCTTGGTTATCTGCCTGAGCTCTTTGTCCAGCTCTTTGGCTTCATCAGGCAGCTGCAACATAGACAGGAAATGTTCAGATAAGAACAATGCAACTAACCGTACTGTTTCGCATCTGGCCAATTCACTGGTAGTACCTGCGCATGCCTCAGCCTAACACGGGATCCAGCTTCATCAATCAAGTCAATAGCTTTATCAGGCAGGAAGCGGTCACTGGAGAAATAAAAAAATCACAGAAGTTTGTTAAAAGTGAACTTGAATTATAGAGTCCAATCCCAAAAACATTAATCCCATGTACAAAAACAGAGAATTTTTTAATCAACAAACTAAGCTATAACCATATGTTCTTGGAACCAAGAAGTTGGTTAGCCGAAGTTGGACACACCATAAAATAGATGATTGTACTTGACATTTTGCTCCCAGAAGAGACAGTAAACACCAATCAAGTCCAATGGATGAAGGAGAAAACAACAAATTTCAGGCAGTTAAATCCTCGCATACAATGCGAACTCGTAAGAACTGACGATAATGAGACTAATCATTCAATAATGGATATTACAATCAAGTATTCTTACTGGTGATGGAAAATCTACAAGTCTCTGCAGGCCATTTTCACTTATTCACCTCAGAATATCCAAGGGAAAAGCAACAAAACTACCACTTTACGAATAAGTGATTCCCACAGATGAAAGCACAATATATGTCAACAACACCACGGCCAAGTCAAACTAACTTTTGAAAAAGGTAAAAGTGCAGCCACTAAGGAAAACCTACTGCCTGCAATGATGCAGATTCGTACTGACATGATATAAGCAAAAAAATTATAAAAGTGCATGCTAATAAAAAAGTATAATGCATTGCAAACCTGATATATTGATAGGACAACTGTGCTGCAGCAACTAGAGCTTCATCTGTGTATCGCAGCTTATGATGGAGTTCATATCTCTCATGAAGTCCTCTTAAGATCTGTATGGTTTCATCAACAGTTGGCTCTGGAACTTTAACTGGCTGGAATCTTCTCTCCAATGCAGGATCTTTCTCAATGTGCTTCCTATACTCATCCAGAGTTGTGGCACCAATACACTAAAGAAACAACAGTATCATAAAAGTTGTAAATTAGGGGTGAATATGTATGAGCAGTTCATATGTTATTTGCGGGCACAGTTTGCTCCCTGAGACGAATTGCCTAGTGTGGGTAGCCAATCAGGGTTCAATTTGCAACCTCTACCTATTAAAAATGCTAGGGTGGACGTCTCTCCCCCTAGTCGAGTTCTTAATAAAGTAGAAGGATCTATTCAATTCTTAGAGTCGGTTAGATAAGGGCTATGGGGCCATCTTTGCACTACCTCCCGTCCAGAAAAGGATGCAATTCTAGCTTGATTTTTAGCCAAACTATCTAAAGTTTGGCCAAATGTACAAGAGTATGAATATTTATGACATCAAATAGGCGTATTATGAAAATATATTCCATAACGAATCTAATGATACTAATCTGGCATTATAAATATTTTTTGACCGAATATCTGGTATTATAAATATTGATACTTTTTTTTTGTATAAACTTGGTCAAACTCAAGACAGTTTGGCTTCATACTATGCTAGAATTGCATTCTTTTCTGGATGGAGGGAGTACTTATAACAAGACGTATAAGACAAACAACATAATGCCAAATCAATAACCTATACCTGCAGTTCACCTCTAGCAAGAGCTGGTTTCAAGATGTTAGCAGCATCAATTGCACCTTCAGCTGCACCAGCTCCAATCAGTGTGTGCACTTCATCAATAAAGAGAATAATATCTTCATTTTGCTTGATTTCTTCCATAAGCTTCTTCAATCTTTCTTCGAACTCTCCACGGTACTTGGTACCAGCCACAAGGAGCCCCATGTCAAGAGTAATAACCTGGCCCAAGGAAAAGGTATTCAGTTTTCTGAAGCAACATGGAGGCAATTAGGAGGACGTATTTTACTCCCATTAGTGTTCAGTTTGCAAATAATGATTGTTCCTATTCCATCTACATCTGGTAATAACAGAATAAAACTTCACCCTAATGGCATTAGTCTAAGTATTATATTCACAACAAAAGCCTGGGCATCCACATAAGGAACTTATACTGGACAAAGACCCCAGTATGTTTGTCACTAGACACTACATAATTTTGAACTGAAAATGCTGAATTCCCTCAAACAGGGCACGTGTAGGTGCACTTCGCACAATGAAGCCACCCATTGACAATTACTAGCATTAGGGATGCAATTATGACTATACACAAATGGGTATTTCCAAGTCAATTAATCTATTTTATCACATTTTCTTTCCTTTGAAATCCGGATTAATTCAATAAAATGAGTGTTGGGTTGACCCAGTGGTCCAGAGAAAGCAAACTTGCATCCTAACCAGCATGGAACAAAACCATGTTGATTCAAACAAACCTTCTTTCCTTCAATCGTTTCTGGAACATCCCCATTGGTGATACGCTGTGCAAGCCCCTCTGCAACAGCAGTCTTGCCAACACCAGGCTCTCCGATTAGGCAGGGGTTGTTTTTCGTTCGCCTGCCCAAAATTTGGGTTACACGTTCAATCTGGTCCTGTCTGCCAACAACTGGGTCGAGTTTTCCCTGCAGAAAAAAAAAGATGCTTAGACTTGTTTTCTTTACTAACTCACTTATGCAATAGAACAAACCAAAGGGGAGAGAAAAATACCTCTTCTGCCAATTTTGTCAAATTAGTACCATATTCTTCAAGTGTTGGCATCTTCTGGCCACTGCTTCCTCCTCCAACACCAGCACCAACAGCTTCTGTGCTCTCACCAACCATTCTTATGACCTGCACATCATGTTAAATATGATTGCCTGCACAATTTTGACTTCGAAAGAGTTGACCACAAACAAGAACAGAAAATGATAATTGCCTGGGTACGAATGTTATTTGGATCAGCACCAAGGATTTCAAGCACACAGGCTGCCACACCTTGACCCTCACGAAGTAGGCCCAGGAGCAAGTGCTCAGATCCTATATAGTTGTGCCCTGAATATGTAGCACTGAAGAATATTAGCAAAACGGAAATGTACCTCTCTTAACATCCACAAACTAGTCTTCCAAACTCGGAAATGAACAAATGTAAAGGCTAGCCAGAAGTGGCAAGACTGTTTTTGGTACTACAGATTCAACAAATAATGCAATCTCAAGGTTTGACCTGAGCTCAGGAGATACTAAAATTTCAACACCACCTTAATGAACAATGTGATAGTTATCATTTCACAATCTTTCCACGTGCTACCAGCACAGATGTAGTATAGTCAAGGGTGCCAGTTTTTTGCACAAACACTGTATGACATTATGGCCCTTTTTTACAATAAGTATACTTCTGAATCAATACTTAGCTACAAATTCAAAAATTATAAATGCTAGTACAATCCACTTTGCATAATCATGCATCCATGCAACAATCACCACAAATGTAAGCTAAAGGTTTTCATGTCCATCAAGTAGATATGAGGAAGTCAGAACAGGATTATTTTTAAACTAAAAATAAACTACAGTTTAGGCTGATCAGATTAAAATTTGGACTCATGTCTACAGAGCCCATGAACAACAGCAAGAAATCAGAAAATTGAGGATAAAATTGCCTACTTAGAAGAAGATTACAACATGAAACTAAATGCATTTGTGGATAGATGAAGGATTACCTAGCTGGCGAGCTTCTTCAGCTGTCAGTTCCAATACACGCTTGGCACGGGGTGTGAATGGGATGTCAGGAGCCACGGACCCAGCACTACCTCGTCCAATAATCTTCTCAACTTCCACTCGGGCATCCCTAAGATTAATTCCCACAGATTTCAAAACCTTTGCTGCAATCCCAGTCCCCTCACTAATAAGCCCTAGTAACATCTGCTCTGTCCCAACGAAATTGTGGCCAAGACGTCTGGCCTCCACCTGCGCAAGCATAATTACCTTGATGGCCTTCTCAGTGTATCGTTCGAACATGACCCGGACCACCCCTCTTGATGCTGAACCCCGTGGCCGCGACATCTGACTTGCTACAGTAGATGCAAAGTCACGCTTTATCACGGACCTGGTGTCCAAAAAGTTTGTCTGCCGCAGCCCTTGAAAGCCAACAAGAGTAGGGGTCCGTGTCGGCATGTTATTGAGCATTGTGGCCCTCGCACGCACACGAGATCGACCAGACCCGCTCCTGTGTAATGTGGCAGGAACAATCCTAGACTGAACTAGAGTCCTCTCCATATTAAGGCCCCGTTTGGCAGGGCTTCTCCAGCGGCTTCAGGAGCCGTTTGGAGCCGTTTTCTGCCAAACGGGGTAAAATAAAACGGCTCCACCGATGAAGCCCCTAAAAACGTGCTCTCACAGAGCTTTGGGGTGGGAAGGAGCCAAAAATAGTGGCTTCTCTCGGCTCCTCCTCCAGGCCCCTAAAAACATGCTCTCACAGGGAAGCCATTTTGCCAAACGGTTTACCAAAACCGCTTCAGCTCCACCGGTGGAGCTGTTCGTGAAGCTGAAGCCAAAAAAAATAGCTTCACTAGTGAAGTGAAGTCCTGCCAAACGGGGCCTAAATCAGCCAAATAATCCTGAGCCAGTTATCAATGAAGCCTGCAAGAGAGACTGTATTATATCAGAAAACAAAATAACTGCACGGTGACAGCAGTTCACAAACCATTAAAAATCAAAGCAAGTTAGCAACCACACCTAAAAATATAAATAGAAAATGCATATAAGCCTCGCATACAAAGGAGAAAGGACTGCCTTCTCTAAAATCAACTCTATTCATTTCTTTGACTATAAATATTACCCCATAGGGGTTATGAATACTAAAGCAACGTTTCAACCAGGTTCATCATCTAACAAGTGCTTGTCGAGGTGCACACCCAAAAATAAACTTAATTTGGGACTGAGGGAGTACATCAAAGAAGTACCATGCAACAGGAACATGGGTAATTAGCACAAGCAGCCATAAAAAGCACAAAACAATCACTTCCTCTGATTGCAAATCAGACATCAACATGATCTCCAATGTGTCTCGACCTATTGAGATTAATCTATACATTGTGATATATGTGAGTTTTTAGTACTGATGGCCAAAGCTTAAAAAGTTCAGCTTAGGACAAATCTAGAAGAATTTACATAAATGATCTGTATTAACCAATCCAGATTGCAGTTCGTTTAGACAAAGCAACTCGAACATATCTTGTCAGTTTCTATCCTCAATAGATGGGCGCATTTTAGTGCTTGTCGATTCAACTGACTAGCCGCCGCCTTAATCCTATCCACAACGGAACATCAAACGCTGCGGTAGAGCTATCGCAGCCATTCATCCGCAGACGCACAGCGTGATAGCAACCGAAATAAACCAACGAACAAATAAAGCACAAAACGTGATTGGTTCGGAGGTAGAGAGAGATTACGCGCGGAGACTCACCGAGCGGCGAGCGGCGAGCGGCGAGCGGCGGCGGAGCGAAGTAAGAAGTCGTGAAGCGAGCGGAGCCAACGCTGCGGTGAGACTCTGCGCCGGCGCGGCGACCGAGCCCTAGATAAGGAGAGGAGGCCCTAGATATGATGCCGGCGCGGTGGGGGCAGGGGAGGCGGGGGAGGGGCAGGGCGGTGCGGTGGGAGCGAGGCACCGGCACGGAGACGGCTACGAGCCTAAAGAGAGAGGGAGAGAGTTCGTGGCGAACGTGAACTAGGTTCCCTTAAGACTTCAAGAGAATTAAATTACCAGAAGTTCGGAGCACACGCTTCGTTAAGGTTGCGTTATTAGATCAAGAGATATTATAGGATGAAACAGTAGAGAATTTTATGTCATCCGAAATTCCGAACTCTATGAGATTGCGTTAGGTTAAGAGCCATTGTGGGATAGGGTTGGAGAGAACCAGAGACGAGACAATTCTTTTTATTGTTTAAAAACAGTTATATTCGTAGAGAATTTTATATGGTCTGAAATTCCGAGCTCATTTTCATTAAATTGCGTTAGGTTAAGATTCATCGTGGGATAGGTTTGTAGAAGAGAACCAGAGATGAGACCATTCTTTTTATTATTTAGTTGTGTAAATGGAACCATAAATGGGATTAGTTATATGACATATGGGACCAATGTCTCTTTTTTTTCTTTTTCCCATCTTCTTTTCTCATCTCTCCTCGTGGTCGGGTGAATTTCCTCAATGAGCCATCCTCCCTATAACCGTGAGCTTCGTGGCCATCCTCCCTTTGCGAGCGCCCGCGGTCGGCGTCCTAGCACCGCAGACCCACTCCTCCACAACCGCGACATCGCTCATGGTCGTCCTCCCTTGGCGAGTGCAGGCTCTAGGGCCCGCCCTGTCTTCGTGAGTGCCCGTGGCTTGGACCTTCTCGGCCACCCTCTCTCCTCTTCTCCTCCCTCATGTCGCGTTGCTTCATGTTCACGGCGTCATGTCCCAGGTGGGACGAACAGATCCACTCAAATTTGGTGATGACGTTGCCCAAGATCTTGAAGGAATATTCTCATGAGGGATGACTATGTCCATGGTTGTCTCTAAACCAAACTCTAGAGCAAGGTGGGATATCCCACCTGGAATCCTTCAATCCTCGAAATCAAATACTACCTTAGTGTGTGTAGGGTCGAGATGACGACTAGAGGGGGGGTGAATAGTTATTTCTAAATTTTAATCACGTCAGCTAACCAAAATAAATGTGGAATTAAATTTATCGATCTAGGCAAGACTACACCCCTCTATCTATGTTCTCTAACACCTTGCAAAGATCCTAATTAAGCAACTAAGGTGTCGGGTTAGCTAGAGCTCACCTAACCAATTCTAAAAGTAAGGTCACATAAACTTATGCAACTAGTACTTTAAGCAATGAGAGAGCTCCTACACATGCTAGTAAGCAAAAGCACAAAGCCACCTAAACTCACTAGCAATGTTCAATAACAAGGCAACGAATGCCAAATTAGAGAGCGCAAATACTTAGCTACACAAACTAAGCAATATGACTAACAAGCTTACGCAAACTAAATTAGCCACGCAAGGGAGCTACTTCTATGCTACACAAGCTAGAAGGTAACTAGCAAGCTACACTAGCTAACTAATTACAAGAGCAACTACACAAGCACAATGTATATGAAAGTAATTACAAGCTTGTGTAACGAGGATGCAAACCAACAGGAATACAAGGATGACACGATGATTTTTTCCCGAGGTTCACGTGCTTGCCAACACGCTAGTCCACGTTGAGACAAGCTCCAAGGTTGCCGCCGGTCCTCTTGCTAGTGGTGACCCACAAGTCACACTCTCCCACGTGAAGTGCTTACCACAAGCTCTAGCACTTGACCTGGCCGGACCACTTGTCGCCCTTCGCGTCTCGCTTTACTAGAGTTGATTTTCGCGGCTCCAGCGGGGCGAGCACAATGCCCTTCACAAAGCTCATCTCCGGAGCATCGCACAAGCTTCTTGCGAGCTTCGATGGAGACCACTACCAAGCCGTCTAAGAGGTGGCAACCTCCAAGAGTAACAAGCATCACTGGCTTGCAACTTGATCACCTAGTGTCACTCGATGCAACCTCATGATGCAATCGCACTAGAATCGCTCACTCACTCAATCGGATGAACACTATCAAGCTAGAGTGAGTTAGAGGGCTTCCAAGCACTCTCAAGCATGGACACAAAGTCCCCCTAAGGTGCTCAGCCCCAGCCATGGACGTGACCACCTTCTATTTATAGCCCCCACGAAAATAGAGCCGTTGTACCCCTTCACTGGGCACTGCTCGGGGCGACTAGACGCTCCGGTCAGATCAATTGGATGCACTCGGTCCAGCGTTCGGTCAACGGATGCACGCCACATGTCGCCTCCGTTCACCCTCAGTCGCTTGATCTCAACGGTCAAGTGATGACCGGACGCAGCACAGTGCTAAAACCGGACGCACCTCTGCCGAGTCCGGGCGTTTCCAGAGAGGTTCCATCCACGACCGGACGTGTCAGTTTGATCACGACCGGACGCAGGACCCCAACGTCCGGTCACTTCCAGTAAGGTTCCACTCGTGATAGGACACATCCGGTCATGCCCGACCGGACTCACCCTGTGTCCGATCACTCACTGTCTTCTTTGTGCGCCGCCACATCAGCACGATCGGACGTTGAACAGTGTTCAGCCAGAGTTCGGTTGCCTGTGTCCGGTCAAGAGACCGAGGGCGGCCTTCACTGCGCGCCACTGACCGAACGCAGGACCCCAGCGTCCGATCACTGCGTGACCAGCATCCAGTGCACTATGTGAAACCCTATCTTTTTTGTACAGGGCGCTGGTGGCACCATCAGACTGTCCACACTCTATGGGCAGACACTCCGCCGGTGAAGTTTTGAACCCTTTTCTTTACCGAGTTGATCCACATCAACTCCAACTTCTTCTCCTTTGTAAATGTGCCAACACCACCAAGTATACACCACCAAGTATACACCACCATGTGTATGTGTGTTAGCATTTTCACAATCATTTTTCAAAGGATTAGCCGCTCAACTTGCCACGCCACTCGATCCTAGCGACGATGCAAAGTTAGATCACTCAAGTGGCACTAGATGACCGATATACAAACAAGTTTGCCCCTCTTGATAGTATGGCCATCTATCCTAAACCCGGTCATCAACTTCTCTACACACATATGACTGGTGAAATGAAATGCCCTAGGTTATACCTTTGCCTTGCGCATTCCATTCCATCTCCTTCATTGTTGATGCAACACATGCACTAACCAATCACCAAATGATATGATCCACTTCATATCATCTCGTGACCGTATTGGTTCATCGATCTTGACTTCACTTGCTTTTCACCGTTGCCTTCGTCCATCGGTGCCAAGTCTTGCTCAAGTTTCACCGCCACGTGGTCCAGCGCTCCAAAGCCTCCAACTTGCCCTTCACGCTTGCAACCAGTCCATCAAGCCAAGTTATGTCTTGATCTTCTCCACCTTGATCACATGACTCAATATCATGTCTCATGTGCAATGAGCTCCATCATCATCACATGTGTGAGCTTTGCAACATCTCCAAGCCATTTCCACCTTCATAGCATATGTTGCTCGCACACATGTACCTGTGGACTAATCACATGTGTATCTCACATAAACACAATTAGTCCACCTAGGTTGTCACTCAATTACCAAAACCACACAGGGA